TTTTATACTAGCTGATACAGTGTTAACTTTATGTCAGCCGATCATTTCACCTCTGCTTTTTTTTTTTTTTTTCAATTTCTAACTTTTTTTAATAATATAATAGTGATGCCATTTTCAATTTTTTTTTATTGTATGTATTAGAGAGAGATGATGTTTTATTATTAGATGTTATATTTAAGATTTAAATATATTAAAAAATAAGTTTATTATAAATAATATTAAATATAATGATATAGCATCAAAATGAGTTTTTGTATATATATATTGAGAAAGATGGGTTTTTATGTTGTTCTCTATTATACATGCTCTAACACTAAAATAATGTTTTCATAGGTACTAACATTATAAATTGCAATAACATATTTATAATATGATATAATATTATAAATTTATAAATTAACATGTTATTCAATAGGTAAATGAATTTTAATATTGTCAAGGAAGCCCCAAAGTCAAAAGAGTCAATCATAATTGGTGTCCTCTCGGCCTCCTCAAGATTTTTTATAATCATTATAAATTTTCATAATTAACGACTCAAGACTAATTCTGTAATTTATAATATTTTTATGGATAGTAATTAGTATACAGTCTATTTTAACATATTACACAATATATTTATTAAAAAATTATTGTTTTTTGACATAAAATTAAGAGCAAATAAATTTAAAATACAGTTATGCATATAGGATGTAGGGCATAAACCCATAAAATGCACTTGAACTTACTAACCTTTAAAGGTGTTTACCCTAAACTTATAAGTACAAGATTTATAACCACGATCTTAAAAGTATAATGATTTAAGTCTTTGTGTTAATAGAAGGCACTAAGTTTTGGTTAAAAGAAAAACCAAATAATAACAAAAGCGGTCCTCAAAGAATACAAAAGTGATAGCTAAATCCGAAAAGATTCTAATGGGAGATGTTGCCACATATATAAGAACAATAATAAACATTTGTAATCAAATTGAGCAAGTAGCTCAATCCAAAGAAGAAATTATTGCTAAAATCAAAGAAAATAGTTTAATGGAGTTAAGGCACAAAATCCAAGAAAACAAAAAGGTAAACCCAATAGTAATATTATATAATTGACATATTGTATTTAGAGAATAAAGAATAAAAAAAATTAAGAGAAATTATTGAGTCACTAAAATTAACATGAATAGTGAACAAATAAATTGAAATAACATGTATTTACTCAATACACTAGGTAAAGACATAATCAGTATTGAAGATATAATTATTATTGATAAAATTCTGGAAATAGAAACTGTCAATGAAAGTAATTTAAGAAGAATTAAAGAGATGAGAAGATCCTTTTCTCAAGAATTTGCTTCCATTAAAAAAAATAATAAATGAAGTAAAAAATTCTAGAGATATAAAAGAGATTAAAGAAGAAATACAGGCCAAAAAAACTAAAAAATGTTGATATCTTGGGTTAGAAATATAGATATTAAAATGGAAGAAATTTTTAAGATATTAGAAGTGATTGCTGAAAAAATTTGCAATAAAAGCTTTAAGATGGATAGAATAATTCCACAATTAGAAAGTGATATAGATAAAAAAATTTTAAGATCTAGACACAGCTCAAGGATCTATAAGACAATTTAATATCAATATGTAGCAAACAAAATATTGTAGATAGAAATGAAGGATTTAAAACAATTTCAAAGAATTTCCCTAAAAAGCCTAAATTAAAAGCAATAACACTTTTCATGTTAACAACCTAAGAAGAAAAGTTGAAAGAACTTAAACAAAGATTCTTAGAAGAAGAAGATGTAGAAGAATTAGATCATTTGTGTAAAGATTATGATGATAACTAAACAATTAGAGAATATGAAGATGAATACTCAAAGAGAAGGAAAGTAGGAAATTGAAGAAGAAAGTGATGAAGAAAAAGATGAGAGGCATCTTAATATAACCCCAATAGAATTTCCAATACAACCTAAAGTAGAATCTAGTATGAGTTGAAGCTACAGAAGTAGTAGAAATCTAATACATGAAGTGTTATATGATAGAAAGAATAAAAGGTTTGAGAATCAATCTAGATTTGAAATGCCAATTAGAGTTAAAGAACAAATGATTAGTACCAATGGCATTTAGTTAGATTTAGACTATGTTATGGATCCAAGAAAAGTCATTAGTGATTGGGCTCAAGCCACTTGGATAGCAATAGCAAACAATAACAATTGGAATGCTTTACTAGCAATAAGGTTTATTGAAGTTATCTTTAAAGGAATAGTTCACGATTGGTTTGCTGGTCTAAATAATGAAGAAATTAATACTATCATAAGTGGAAATCTTGCTTTAGAAGAAATAAATGAAGATGAAGCAATCCAAGATATTATAACTAGATTCGAATTAGCTATAAGAAAAGAAATTTTAAGAGAAAATTAGGAAGAAAATCAAGAAAAGGAAGAAGCCATAATGGGAAGAATAACAATATGGAATCTGTAGAATTTAGAATTATGTAACATTGTGAGCTAGATCAATACATTTGTTGTTCCAGAAATACTACTATAAAGCATCAAATCATGGAATGGCTAATGGCCTAATGGAATTATTTTTTGGAAAATTTCTAATCCTTGGGGAATAAAATTGGTAAAAGCTTATAAAACCCATGTAGAGGATAAAACAGATACATTAGGACTGAGAATTTGATTCACTAAAACCAAAATTAATGAATGGTGCATAGAAACCTACAACCATAGTAAATTAAGAAAAATCATGAAAAAAGGGTTATGTTATCCTAAAAATAGTGGTCCAATTAAGTTAGGATGTAGTTATTCAAACTGTAAGAAAAAAAACAAAAGATTTCAAAGTTAAAAAAAAAAAAAAAAAAGTAATAAACAAAGGTTTGATAAGAATAAATTTTCTGGAAGAAAAAAGAGATCTTTTAAGAAATCAAAATCACTTAGAAAATATAGAAAGAATCCCAAGAAATGCACATGCTGGCTATGTAAAGAAGAAGGACACTATGCAAATGAATATTCTAAAAGATAAAAAAAAAAAAAGTACCAAAAACCTAAAAATTTATGAAGAAGAATTAAGTGAAATAAAAATTAGCTCTTTAAATAACAAAGAAAGTATATATGAAGTGGAAAGTTTAGATACTTCTAGCAATAGTGAGTCAAAATATTAAGGAAGGAAGAGCTTATTCTAAATAATATGAAGTATATGGAGAATACAACAAAATAATTGTATTTGATAGAAGTAAGTATAAAAGAATTAGGCAAAAAGGAATGGACCTTGCATTAGAAAAAGGATTCAAGTTGAATTCTG